TGGTGTGGATGCTAAAATATTTACCATTATATTTCTTGTTCTTGGTGTAAACACCTTTAAGTGATCTGATTTGGCCAAATTAATTGAAGATCTGATTTATCACATGACAAGGTAAACTTGTCATTTCCAGACTCTTGCTTCCTAGACAGATGTGTTCAATAAAAATCAACACGGAAAGAAAGGCAGACTATGAGGTGTGGACAGATATCATGTACTGTTAGAACGAGAAGAGACGGCGCCAATTTATTAAGGTTAATAAAGAATACAATGGACTTAATATAAACTTCATGATACAAACACTCTGACTACTTACAATGGGCACAATCTGCATGAGAGTTGAGGCAATGGCTAATGACAGCAGGGGTAAAAGTCGTAGAATTTTGTATGAGTACGCTTGTACAATATCATATGAATTTGCTGACTTGGTAAATTGAATGAATTATTACTAATTCTACATGACACTTTGTTGAGTGTTCTTCCTGATGGGCTATGTAAACCAAAGTTAAAGAGACATCAAATGCTGTGCAAATGTAACTGCAGTACAGTTCAATCAAGGTGCTCAGACCAACACAGACGTACCGTTGGAAGTGTTTGCCTTTGCAGCTTTTAGTCTTCTCTGTAAACGCACAGTATGGCCACATTCAAATCCCATGACAGGCCTTCCTTTGGTCTTCCATTTCAGCTGAAACAAAGAGAAATATATACATGTTGAGACAGTGTGTTATAAATGATCTGTGACCAAAATATTTGAGAGGAAGGACTATAAGGAAAGATGTTATCAACACATAATATAAGGATGCGTTCATTAAAGCAAATCAGTTATAACTAAATGTGTTCAACAAAACCTGTGAAGGGTTGAACCTTTGAAGGACTTGTTCAGCCTCCTTGGCAGATTCTTCAAGATCAGCATTGGGAGCTTTGAGTTCAAGTTCCCTGTTAATTCTAGCAGCTTTCTGAAAGAATTGGTAAAAATTTGATTCTGAGTTTTAAAAATATGCCATGATAAACCACAGAAAGAGAGACTACTATGTGTAAATGAATTACGGATTACAGTTTGGAAAAATAGGAAAGGAAAAGC